ACCTGAGAATCCTGTGGCGAACGCCCGCTTATATAGCCAGATGGCTTCACCCATTCTGGCGGGCTCTGTCACCACAGGCTTGTGCAGCCCCGCTGCCGAGCCATTGGTTAGTTTTTAAAGTGTACTGTAGCGTCTTAGCAGACTCAGTACGAGTGAAGTATCGATAGGGAATGTACTCGGTTACTAACGTAACTTTGGTTCCCTGAGATACGGAATGAGTACTGCGTACTTTGCCGTGCTATGTAGCTGCACGACTCAGTCGTCGCTTCAGTTGAAGTAACCTGAGGATCCTACAGCGGAATGCCCGCTTATATAGCCAGATGGCCCCGCCCATTCTGGCGGGCTTTGTCGCCATAGGCTCATTCAGCTCCGCTGCCGAGCCATTGGTTCGTTTTTTATTCACTGCACGAACCAATGGCCGTGCAGTTACATTGCGTTATTGAAAGTCATCGGAGAAAAAGGAGTTTTCCCCAAATTACTCGTTCCGTATCTCAGGGAACCAAGGTTGCATTAGTAACCGAGTACGTTTATTCTCATCAATATTCTTGTCCTCTATTTTATACATATTTATTTATTCATTTAACAAATGCTTTTATCCAAAGCAACTTGCAAATGTTTATCACAAGAAATTAATCATAAGAACAATATCTGTGCACAGTTTAGAGTATAAGCTACATTGGTATCCAAGCTAGAACAGGGGAATGCAGAAAAGAACAGAGTTAAGCCTCGTACACACCGGGACGATTATCGCGAGTGCTTATCGCCAACGTTTTTCGACGCGTCTTTTGTGTTCATACCCAAGCGATTTTCGCAGGCGATGAGCCGAGTGAACGTGCAAATTCACTCCCTGACATTAGATGGCGCTTAATGAAAAACAGAAATACCCCGGTACACATCGAATCCTATTTGATCTGCAAATCCTCTCCATAACAATTCCCTCTTATCGAGATTTTTGTAGTCGCTGCCGCGTTTGTCATAAAGCCCTTTATGTTCAGACACCAATGAGACCCGCAGCTCTACATTCATCTTGCCTCGATGCATCTTCTTGGTCTACTTACTTCCTCTTTTTCGTTAGGTATCAATGTGTGCTCGGCAAGACTGTTCTAATGACCGGGAACAGTGCAGTCTTTTCAAATGCCTCTTTCTGCAGCGGACCACCCCCCTTCATGTTGAATTTGGACATGAGGGAATTTTTTTAAAACCCTGTCCAGCATCCTTCTGGCACTGTCTTTGTGGTTTCTTCCTTCAACTCTGCACAACTTTGACACCATTGCTGCCCGGATCTTTTCAAATTTTAACCGCTTTTCCAGATGTTGAAACTCCTCCTCAGTTTCTCCAATTCTTCTGAGTGTGTTCAAAGACCAAGTAGGAATGTCCTTTGTCGTTTGTTGTCTACTTACTTCCTCTTTTTCGTTAGGTATCAATGTGTGCTTGGCAAGACCGGCTTTTACGCCTCGCGTTTTACGCGTCGGTGTGCACACTCACATTGGCACCCTTTGTTTAGTCACGAGGCATTAAACGTCGGCGATAATCGCGCGCGATATTCATCCCGGTGTGAACAAGCCTTTAGATGTTTCTTTAACATTGTAATGGTCTCAGCTCATTCCATCAAGTAGTATAGAAAAAGAGTATGTATGTATAGTATGGGGAAAAAAATTACTATGGAAGTGTTTGGTTGGCAACATTCTTCAGGATATCTTCTTTTGTGTTCAGTAGAAGTAAGAAATTAATTCAGGTTTGGAACAACTTGAGGGTGAGTAAATAACGGCAGAATTTTCATACAGTATTGTATACTGTACAATACTGTATGAACTGTCAGGGTGAACTGTCCCTTTAACATATACTCTCCCCTTATGAAACAAAAATATATGGACAAATACTTCAAAATGTAATGCTATATATTATATAATACAAGGGAAACTAGTGCTGATATTTTTAAATATACTGCAATATGTGCATTAACCATGTATGGTTATATATATTGATAAATAAAAATATTTAGAAATGAAGACAAAAATAGCATTACATGTAATATTCATTGGCAAACTGATGACACTGCATTTTGATGCACTACTATAATATTTCACAAGTTCGTTGCCGTTTTTTTTTGTAGCTGAGAGTTGAAAACTGTTCAACTTTGGGTAAAAGGTAGCACTCATCATTGCCACTTTTACTCAGTCGTCCAATTAATGGAGGAGGACAAATACTACACCGACCAATCATCTCACTTGTATAACGACTGAACAACTATGGAGAAGTTCATATTGCTGGGTACTTTCTTCAAAATGAGATACTATACATTACTTCCATAGATATTCTAAATCACATCAACCATGTAAAACAATAGAACTTATATTACAGAAATGTAAACACGTATTCAGGCATAAAATATTGCTGCAATCCCACATACATGTAAATGCATTATTCTATAAAGGGTAGAGTCCTACTGAAGATCTGAAGCTCTTTACTCTTATCTTTTTTTAGATCTAATCAAATCTGTTACATCAACAAGTGTGTATTGTTACTAAGCAGCAACATCTGTCAAATCCCATTAACTATTTTAGGCAAATCAGCATGTGCAGAATCCATGGACCATCTATTTTATGTCACACAGTTTCACTGTTGGATATTCAGCTGATCCAAATAATCTGTACACAAATGGAAAAATAAACCTAAACCCAGGATAGAGCGACTGAGTGAATGTGGTCTGGACTCTGTGGATGAGGGTCATTATGCCAGAGACGCTGTAGAAGGACAGAATTCCGATATTGTGATCCACATACACTCCTATTTTACGGGAGCTTGCCACTGCAGAGAGTTCAGTCTGTTTGTTATTTTGACAGAATGTGTAACTGGAAGGAGAGCAGATTAAACTCCAGGACTGATCATTACTTCCAAATTTGCTCTTATCACCCCATCCCTTTCTGCTTATACTCTGATAAGACACTGATATACACACACAATAATCACCACTCCATTCAACCTCCCAGTAGCAGCGTTCACGCACGCTCTCAATACACAACACCTGAGGCCAAAAACTAAATCTGTCTGGGTGATCAGGACACTCTTGTCGTGTTCTACTGTAAGTCACCACTCTGTTCCTCTCAGGAAGACGGAGGTGTTTGTGCACTGTGTTTGGATCCAGAGTAAATCGACAGAAATCTGATAGAGACAAAAAACATGATCTGCACCAAAATCTGTAGTTTCAATAATTAAAACATTAAATTCATCTGTTAGTTTTCATATAGATAAAATGTGATGGATGTCGTTATGAATGAAACGAATGCTGATAACTACAACTTTCATATCATATTTTACTTTTATTTTAAAACACTGATGTAGTGTATTCTGATAACAAGTGTTGCCAAATGTGCATGGGATCCATTTTATATGAAAATAATCAAGTCTTATCTTCATGTTTCCCTAGTATATCTGAAAAAATTCATAGAAAAAAATACACTGATTTATCAGTGTTCATAATTGGATCTTTTCCTATAAGAATGTTATATATATATTTTTTATCGACAACAATCCTATTTTTTGCGTTCCTATTTTCCTAGTAACTTACACTGTAGGAAGTCTTTCCTGCTCTCATATTCTGGGGTGGGAATGATCTGGATGCATGTCACTGTGGAAAACAACACGCATGACATACAGTTTCAGTGTAAAAGAACTAGATAAATAGAATACTAATGAGTCTCCAGTACTTTACCTCTTCCAGAGAGTTTTTCAATCTCTTCTCTGCAGAAATCCTCCAGTTTCTGTCTCAGTTTAGAGACTGATTTTCCTACAACATCCAAAGAACTGTCAGTGATGCTGGGAACATCTGGAGATCCAGGAGGAACAGGGAGAGACGGGAAACTCTGCACAGACACAAACAACCAGAGAATAAATTTAAGACAGAAATATTTCATAGAGAGTAAATGCTGCTCAAGTGTCAATAAAATCTGTAAAAGCTCTCAGTAATGAAAAGACTGATGGCCATGGTGTTACCTGGAGGAAATGAGTGTGATTATGTGTCTGTGAAAGCTGTTGTAGTTCAGCATCACTCCTCCTTAGTTGATCAATTTCATGCTCTAGTTCTTTCAAGAGACCTTCAGCTCGACTCACTACAATCTTTTCTCGATCTCTGATCATCTGTGTGACCTCAGAGCATCTTTTCTCTATGGACTTCTTACAGTAACTGTGTCCACAGGGAATGGCTACTGGATCCTTCAGCAAATCCAGACACACTGAACAGCTGAACTGCTCTGCTGAAACACTTGCTTCAGCCATTTCACTGCATGCACTCACAGACAGAGACACAACACAGCTAAACGGCACTTAGGTTGCATTTTTCCTGAACTGGAGAGAACTGGATTAATTTCCTGGTTCTCTGATTGAGAGACGTGTGCAAATCAGGTATGCCTGTGACGTGCAAAAGGTTTGTTTGCAAAAGGCTTGATCACTGATAATGCAACCATCTAATAGATTTCAGTTTCATACAGTACAGAGACAAATAAAGTGTCACGATCACCAGCTGGAGTGCCCATAAGCTCCCCCAGGGGCACTCCTTACTACTCCTTTACCATTCCATCACGAACTACATTTCCCATTAACCTTTGCCTGGACTCGTTGTTCTGTGATCACTTCCGCCTGCGTATCATTAGCTTGTTAAGGTCTGTGTGTTTATAAGGTCCGTGCTTGATTTATTGTACATCGGTCATTGTTTCCTGTATGTGTGTTCCCAGTTGATGCTCTCTCTTGCCTACTCTGAGTGGTTTATGTTCATGATCCCCTATGTGGATTGCAGCTTGGTTCTTGGCTTGGATAATCTGTGTTTGTGTTTTAATAAACTTTTGTGCTTGCACTTGGATTCTCGCTCCCCCTGGTCTTGGCTCACATGTAACATAAAGGCTTTAATAGAGTGTATTGCTTGACTATGCTGTTTATACTTAACTGCATGAAGCTGCAATATTGAATTTTAACTGTGATAATGAATACAAACATCATCACTTTGATCTGTTAAGGTTGTGTCCCATGCCTTCAGCCCAAGTCACTGGAGTAGGCGGCAACATTTCGGTGATCCTACATAAGACGATCAGTGAGGAGAATGGATGAATCCACACAGAAAAATGATGACAATGATGATTATAAAGATTAGTGCATCAGTTGTATTCAATGTACAATAGAAGTATTGTATGCTACATTTTTGTAATATGGTCTTACATTATCAACATGGTTTTTCCTGGTCTCGTAATGCACCACTTTATTTTAAGGACCAATTCTCACTATTAACTAGTTGCATTAGCAGGAATATTACAAGCATATTGGCTGTTTATTAGTACTTATAATGTGCATATTAATTCGGCATGATCATATTTTAAATCCCTTAATCCTACCCCATACCTAAACTTAACAACTAACTTATTAACCAATAATAAGTAGCAAATTAGGAGTTTATTGAGGCAAAAGTTGTAATTAATAATTAGTAAGAATTTGTACCTGTGTGAATATGATACACAAACTCTCGGTTGGATAAAGCAAACTAGTACACAGTTATAAAGTTTTAATCAGTGAAAATTGTAATCAAGGTAAAGACGTACAATACACATACAGGAGTCATACATTAAGCACGGGTGAGTTTGTTATTATTGACTACGTTTACATGCACCCTCATAATACGATTATAATTGTTTTTTTTTAGTAATATTGCGATTAAACTTTGTAAACCTCATGTAAACACAATACTTCGATCAAACTAATGTGATAAAGTTCATTGTAACAATAACTGCCTTTAATTATTGTCACAGGTTCACCAGGCTCTCTAACCACCTCCACTCAGCGATCTCAATCACCAGCATTCTAATCATCACCATCTGCAAGTCATTACAATATGTCGCTTTGTTTCATAATTACAGTGTATACGTATTTCTTTATTTACCCCAAAAGAACTGAAGTAAATGGGTTACATTGTAACATCTGAGGGGCACGTTGTAACATGACCATATGACAGCTTAAAATGTTATCTGATCTAATGAAAAAAAACAAAACAAGACAAACTAAAATATTTTGTCAATAAAATACTTTTTTTTTTCATTTAAAATAATGGTGTTTTTTAAGAATTAAAAATAATCTAATTTTGGAGTTTGACAATGAACGCATTGCCACCATGCCTCGGACGGCCCTGATCGCAACACACAGCTATACAATATAGTTCAAAACAATGTGGGCAAATAGATGAAGAAACACATTCAGAGAAATACAGAGATTAACACTCCCCTCTACTCCCTCCACACACGGCTCTCCAGTGTTGGGCATGTTACTTTAAAAAAGTAATTAGTTATAGTTACTTCTCACAAATAGTAACTGAGTTAGGAACTGAGTTACATCATTATAAAAGTAACTAATTACCAGGGAAAGTAACTATTGTGTTACTTTTAAAAAAATTTTTCAAATATGTCAAATAACTTGGAAGCCCCCAATATTAAATATGTTAAATGAATCACAGCTATACAATATAGTTCAAAACAATGTGGGCAAATAGATGAAGAAACACATTCAGAGAAATACAGAGATTAACACTCCCCTCTACTCCCTCCACACACGGCTCTCCAGTGTTGGGCATGTTACTTTAAAAAAGTAATTAGTTATAGTTACTTCTCACAAATAGTAACTGAGTTAGGAACTGAGTTACATCATTATAAAAGTAACTAATTACCAGGGAAAGTAACTATTGTGTTACTTTTTTTTTTAAATTTCAAATATGTCAAATAACTTGGAAGCCCCCAATATTAAATATGTTAAATGAATGAAATGGACACTAAACAGAATAAATTGGCAATATAATCGCCATTGGCTAGTACATTTTTTAGTTTACTCATCAGACTAATATCAATTATCTGATATATTTTATCTGACTATTTTATATATATATATAAAGCTTATGTTTGTAAAATGGCACAGTTTTTTAAATATCTGACACTTAGCATCAGTCAGTCAAGCATTATAATATGATATTATGATAATTTAGCACCTCGGGGTGAAGCCTCCATTCCCCGGGCCTCTGCCCCTGCCTTGACAGGATGTCTGCTCCCATATTGAGAGAGGAGGAGCGAGAGGAGTTTGCCCTGGGACCACACAAGGATCTGGTGCGCCAGCCTGTACAGGGGGCGCGAATGCAGACCTCCTTGGTGGTTGATATACAGTGGGTACGGAAAGTATTCAGACCCCCTTAAATTTTTCACTCTTTGTTATATTGCAGCCATTTGCTAAAATCATTTAAGTTAATTTTTTTTCCTCATTAATGTACACACAGCACCCCATATTGACAGAAAAACACAGAATTGTTGACATCTTTGCAGATTTATTAAAAAAGAAAAACTGAAAAATGCTCAGTATTTAGTAGAAGCACCCATTTGATCTAATACAGCCATGAGTCTTTTTGAGAAAGATGCAACAAGTTTTTCACACATGGATTTGGGGATCCTCTGCCATTCCTCCTTGCAAATCCTCTCCAGTTCTGTCAGGTTGGACGGTAAACGTTGGTGGACAGCCATTTTTAGGTCTCTCCAGAGATGCTCAATTGGGTTTAAGTCAGGGCTCTGGCCGGGCCATTCAAGAACAGTCACAGAGTTGTTGTGAAGCCACTCCTTCGTTATTTTAACTGTGTGCTTAGGGTCATTGTCTTGTTGGAAGGTAAACCTTAGTTCCAGTCTGAGGTCCTGAGCACTCTGGAGAAGGTTTTCGCCCAGGATATCCCTGTACTTGGCCGCATTCATCTTTCCCTCGATTGCAACCAGTCGTCCTGTCCCTGCAGCTGAAAAACACCCCCACAGCATGATGCTGCCACCACCATGCTTCACTGTTGGGACAGGTGATGAGCAGTGCCTGGTTTTCTCCACACATACCGCTTAGAATTAAGGCCAAAAAGTTCTATCTTGGTCTCATCAGACCAGAGAATCTTATTTCTCACCATCTCGGAGTCCTTCAGGTGTTTTTTAGCAAACTCCATGCAGGCTTTCATGTGTCTTGCACTGAGGAGAGGCTTCCGTCGAGCCACTCTGCCATAAAGCCCCGACTGGTGGAGGGCTGCAGTGATGGTTGACTTTCTACAACTTTCTCCCATCTCCCGACTGCATCTCTGGAGCTCAGCCACAGTGATCTTTGGGTTCTTCTTTACACTTCAGCGCCAGGCGCGAGTCAAACGAGCGCGGAAACGGTACTGTGCTCGCAGCGCATGCTCTTCAACTGCACGCACAAAAGGCGCCGGCGCGCGCTGTAGCCTGTATCCTTTCATATCAAAGCACGAAATAAACAAGAAGTAGATAAGGCTACTTATAAGTAGATAAGTCTTTCATGTGTATTTCTATTTTATTTATTTTTTTGTAGTGCTGTCATGCAAGATATGTCCACAAATGTTTTAAGCAAACTTGATGATCAAGAAATATGATTTCTGAAGTATTTTGTATGCATGTCCTGCTGTGTCATATTTTCTTACCACTGCAGCCCTGTCTTCATAATTTTCATAAGTTTTCCATTTTTGTCTTCTTTTAGGACAGTTCTGGAGAAAATGGGGCTGCTGGAAAATTTAAAAATGAAATGAATAAAGTTGTTCTATACATTACTTTTGTAATTTAAGTTATTTTTAAATAAAGCAAATTAATTTCTGTGCATTATTTTATTTTTGTATTGTAAGTTGAAACTTGTAAATAAAAGACGAGTAGTAGTTCTGGAAATTGTTTGTTTTTGCAAAGCAAAACAAACTCTTCTATAAATTTTTTTTTGGTGTCTAAATTAACATTTGTTCATGAAAATAAATTGTTCTATACTAAAGGTACGTTTGGTAACCACCTTGTAACGATCAGCCTAACAGGCTGGGTTACAAAGTTTAAAATGGGGTCAGAATTTACTGTGTGAGAGGTTTATATGTGTTAAAATAATGACATAAATCTGTAAATACACCGTTCTTAAACGTATTTCTAAGTTCACGGGACTTTAAAACAGCACAATAAAACCAGGAAAACTCAGTCTGTTGAAAGCATACAGTTCTCTGCACCATACCCTAAAAACAGTCCAAGAATTCTAGAGTGCTGAAAAAGTCCCAAAGTGAGTCCACCAGTGTATATACAATCCAAAATGAGTGATAATCCACAAGCTTGCAAGTAAAAACAAGTTTACTAAATAAGCCAGGTTTATTTCAGTTAGCCTGACTTATTGTCAGTTGATTTGGTTCAATATAAGCCAGACTAACTGAAATAAGCCTGGCTTATTTGGTAAACTTGTTTTGTGAAACA